CTGCCTATACCTGAGAGGAAAATCTTGAAATACTGATGCTGTAAATCTGAAGCTAGCAGAAGGAAACATTTCCTCAGCAGCCCCTCCCCCACTGATCACTTATTTAAAGAATATTTCCATTTCTGCACCTATTTTGCAGTATATATAAAAAGAGGGGAAGGTGCAGCGCTATATGATTTAGTAGACAATAATAAAATCAAACACACATAATAAACAGTGACTATGTGCTGATAAAATAAAGCCACTAGATGGTGGCTGTGAAGTAAAAGAAGTGCAAACATAAATAAAGGAGTCCAGTAAAAGGGTGCTCTTAAGACCCGAGATGATCCTCAGACGTCCAATATTTGGAACTGCCAGGTGATAAAAATTGTAAAGATTGCGCACTCACCAGATACGCAATCTTTATGCGCATTTATATATGATGTCACTGGACCTCCGGTGTCATAAAACTGGTCTGGTCAGATTTGGTCAGTATGACTATCATCGCCTGGTACTTGGATGGATGCGGCTGCTCTGAAGGTCTGGCTGGTTCCCACCAAGACTCAAATAAACAGAGAGGGCCACATAGTGTGATATCCTTAGAGTATCTTTATTATATGCAGGTACAGGATAGCAGAGACAATCCAATTAACAAAGAAAAGTACTGACCCAGAGATGGCCGGGGCATGGCGCCGGCGGCGTGGCGTCCTACCTACTGTTGCCTTTTCTGACGCGTTTCGAGCAAGAGCTCGTACTCATAGGGGTGCAGCTTTGTTTACATCTGGGTCAGTACTTTTCTTTGTTTATTGGATTGTCTCTGCTATCCTGTACCTGGCTATCCTGTACCTGGCACCTGCCTGCTTCTGAGATCAAGGTAAAGATTTACATATTTACAATGAATTAGAAGGCTATAACATAACTATATCCAATTATTAATGTTCTCAAAAGGCAATCCTGGGTCAACTTTTAAAAAAAAAAAAAATTCTTCTGGGGACTGGAACTCCGCTTTAACTTTTTAGAAATCGCTCTCTTTCATTATCAGTTAATGGGGGGTAAGGCAATTAACACTGTTCAAAAATTCTTAAAATCAGCAATGACACCTTCTTCTTAGAAACATCAATGCTAATTTTTTTTTTTTTTTTGCTTTATGATGTGGTATGTTGTGTGAATTGGAACACCTAACAAACATATATTGGGGTTTTCTCAATGTGGAAATATGCTTCAAACTATTGTAACATATAAAGGCTAGAGCTCAAGTATCATCATTTATGTGATTACATCATCCCAGGGCTGGCATCTTAGTTCAGGAAGATGGCACTGGGCTACTGGGGAAAAGGGAAGATAAAGGCATTATCAGGAGTGCTGTTATCTCGTTTAGAGGTAATAAATACCTGGAAGTGCTTGGTTCAATTTCAACTTTCAAACCTATAAAAAAAGGTTGAATAGTGTAACGTGTGCTGGAAACTACAAATGCTTTGCTACACTGAATACATTCATAATTACATCCTAACGTTCATATGGATACCCACAGACTCAGTGTTAACCTATTACTTTATTTGATGACTTGCACGTACAGGTGATCATTTTTGTTGAGAGACTCCCTTGAAACCTACCTTGTCTCATATAATCAGATTGCTGCTGTATGTGTTACAGCTGTATTGTTATGTCAAAAGTAGCAAAGGGCAGGCCTTTGTTTAGAGAAAATGCTACTGTAGGCACATGTGAATGACGCCAGGTTCCAAAACTATAGTTACATTATTTTTGTCATTCATTTTAAAATCTAAAGGCCTATTGGAAGCACCATGCCCTATGCTTTATTACTGCTTTATAACACATTGGACCTATATATAATATTTATATTATAAATATAATTGAAAAGCCTACAGAAAAAGAGCAAACGGATACATGTTAATAGAGTGTCACTATCAGGGGTCAGGCTCAGAGACCAGTAGCTATATCAGTAGAGAGGCTCCCACCAACCACAAGATGATGCAGGCACACCCGAGGTGTGGAATTAGGCACTAACTGGTACTCACCACAGCTCCTGGTGGTGGAGATGGGTTTTGCTGCATGTTAGTACCAGGTCACGGTCCTCAGGATTACCTACCAGGAGGTGAGGAAGTCAGAGTCCAGTAGCAGATATAGCAGGTAGGGACCAAGCATAAAAGTAGTCATTAAACAAGCCGAAGAAAAGTAATAAGTGGTTGCAGGTTTGGATCAAGCGTAAGCATAGTTGAGGAATAAGCCAAAGGTTGGCAGCAAGTGTTTGCAGGTTGGGATCAAACAGAAGCGTATGAGAGAAATAAAGAGTTCAAGGTTCACCAGTCACATGGTACAAGGCAAGATTGTCCAAGGAATTGTCCAGGGAGCTGTCCAGCATTTCAGAGTATTGAGACTTTTCTTGGCAGCCTCAATGCTTCAATCCCTAATAAGTTTTGTTCATGAATTTGTTTCAAAGGTGACAAAAGTGTTTCAAATTGGCTAGCCTGAGTAAATTAAATGTAACAAGTGTTGTAAATACTGCATTTTATTGTTGCCCAATCTTACTGTCCTAGGCATTGGCTCATAAGTGACCTATGCATGATATTTTTGATAAAAGAACAACACCTATTGACATATAAACAAACCAACTGTGAAAAAAAATCTTGTGACCTATTTTTTATTAGAAGAAATACTCATCCAATTTGGGGGAAGAGGACACTGATTGCCGGTGGAATGGTTCTTCAGCATCAGACAGAGGAATAGATGTTTTTTTTATCTGTACTTGAGCAATGATCAGTCGAAAATCTGTTCATTAGTATAGTGCTTTCAACAGCCAATTCCAACTGTTTAGAAGGAAAAAAACTAAGGTGCAAGCTAGAAAATGTTTCTAGTTGGTTACCATAATGTCCGTTTTTTGTTCAAGTTGAACAGTAATCATACAGAAATAATCGAATAGAAAATACTGCACAGGATCAGAAACAAAGAACAGCCTAGATGAAGATGGCATCAAATATAAAAATTATACACAAGAAAACACTTTCATATACTGGGTCATTAAAGAAACTACAAGCAGTAAACAGTAGCATATTTCTTCTATGACAACAATCATGCTATGCTAGTACATAGCTACATTTGCCTACATTTGCCTTTGCTGCTCAAGATTTTTCTTACAAGTAATATCATTCTAGATTACGTCATGATAGGCACCTTCAGGGAAAATCAGACAATCGTTTGCTCAATTTTCTCATTGTGTGTATTAGGCCCAAGAAGCTGTGAGAAGGATGCTCCATCACAATGTGTGCACCAACTAGAGACTACTAGACTGTGGGCGATAATGATATTCCTCGGTAATATGTTATGCTATGTACAAATGTATAGCTAATTCACTATCACAATGTAATTTTTTGTTATAGGTTACATGGGATATATCAAATGAAGTGAGTATTTCACGGAGAATAGAAGATGACCAAGACAGTCAGCCAACATGGCAAGATGGCCAGACAGAACAGAGTTTAAAGAAGAGATATTGTATGCTCTGCAGTGTACTGAGTTCAGGGAGACCTTGGGAATTATCCAAATTAATATGACTAGCAATGATCAAATACTAATTGTAGTAAAATTGATATTTGAGCTGCATCTTTGAATGGGCTTCAGCTTTGGACTTCAATGATGGGTAGGCATGCTAAGCCTGCAGCATGGCATCAGGGTGGTAACTGCTCCATAGCTGCAGAGTCTTTTTACTTAGTGTGCCCCTGCAACCGATGATTTTTCATGTTTAACAAAAAGAAACAATGTTAAACTTGGTAGTCGTCATTGTAATAAGTCAGCTAAATCCACACATTGTTTAATCAACTTTTTTAATTCTCTGGCACAAGTTATAGGTGTTTTGTTTAACCCATTCATGATACATGATTAATGTTTTAATGCAGCAGAAAAGAAAACCTTTCCAGTGGTGTGTGGCTATGGGCTGATTGCCAAATGCCAGCAACATATACAGTAATATTTCTTCACAACATAGAAAGGCAAATAGTAACGTGCAATTAGGCATCATTTAACGGCAGTTAATCAAACAATACTGTATCACATTGATCATCCAGCTGCCCACATTTCTTTATTGCAAGTCACCCAAACAGTGCTGTGCAGGCTAAATCAAGCTATGATTACTTTTTTCGCTGCTATTTGTAAGTATTTTTTTGCTTTTTTTTCTAAACAGACCTTTTTTTTTTAATTTTAGTGAATAATATAGTTTGAACCCTGATCAAAATATAACATGTATTAACAGTTTGTAACGTCACAAAAAAACCCAAAGGGATAGACATAAAATGTAAATGTAAAATCTAATGTACTAATGGGGCAAAGTATAAATAATGCTACTAAAGTTTTCATATGTCACTAATATGCAAGTGCTTCATACAGAAAGATGATTTATCAATGGTTGATATATGCAGTAAAATATTAGTAATATTAATATTACACGTCTCTTAGAGCTGATTCACACATGTGCGGTGCGGATTGATGCTCAGGTTTCACAGCTAATTGATACAGTAGTTGTTCAGCGGTTCAGGTCAGATTTATATTAGGTTCAGGACAGATTTAGTTCAGGTTCAGGTGAGGATTTTATCCTTTTCACAACTGATGACATGTGCGGTTTAGAAACGGTTCCCGTTTAAGTCAATAGCCTGTAATCCGCACCTGAACCGGACTGCTCTGCTCAGAAATTGTACATGACTCTTTTTCAATGCACACTGCCAATGCACTGGACATATGTGAAAAGGCACCATAGGAAGCATTGTTATTTCACATGTCATGCAGATTGGATGCGGTTCAAACCGCATCCAATCCACATATATGAACCGGCGCATATGATGGTGTAACTTAAAACAAACATTTTACAGTATATGTCATCTTCAAGAAGGATGATATACAGGGATATAGGAATTGTTTGAAAATAAAATTCATACATACATTCACACACATATAGAACACAAACACATATAGGTTAAACTGGATGGATTTGTATCTTTTTCAACCTTATAAACTATGTAACTATATGCAATCATCCATACTGAAGTGATTTTAACTCTGGATCAGTGTTAGGACTGTAAATAGGTTTCTCTTTACCATTCATTGCAGCACAAAAGCAGCTTGAAGCTGGTTGATGCAGCTTAAAAAGAGATCAACTCAACCCCATCACTTCTCACTTTTTATCCTTATGGGACAAACTGAAAACCCAATATCTCCTCCAATCACTACATAATCCTATGCTCTCGTTTCTGCGAAACCCAGCTTTTTCCCCGGCCTGGCAGACACCCCTTTTATTCAAAGCCTGGTCCTCTGCTAATTTGCTCCGCACGCATCATTTCCAACAGAGGAATACGTTTAAATCCTTTTCCTCGCTGCGGGAAACACATAGCCTCCCAGCTTCCGAGATATTCAGATACTTGCAGCTACAACACTTTTACGCCCCCTACGCTACAACAACCAATCGGCCAGATGCCATGTCTGTCTTTGAACGAGCGTGTTGCAAAGACCCTCATAGACGTGGGCTTATCTCTTGCTTATATTCACTCTTCACTACTTCGATCACCACGTCCCCCCCTCTGTATACCCATAAGTGGGAAGTGGATTTGGGTAAGAAATTTGACCCATCTGATTGGGACCACATTTGGGCCAACACAAAATCATCTTCGCAGAACATTGTAGCATTGGAAACGAATTATAAATATTTTAACCCGCAGGTACTTGGTCCCAGCGAGAATCGCAAAAGTTACCCCTAATTACTCGCCCAACTGTTTTAGAGGCTGTACGGTCTCAGGAACACACTACCATATGTGGTGGGAATGCCCAGTGGCCTGAGTCTTTTGGGATGAAATTTTCACCATGATATCTACACTTAGCACTATCACTCTACGACCCGCCCCAACAACAGCCCTACTCAATCAGTGCCCCCCTGGCGTCTCCAATTCGCAATTCAAGCTCCTTATGCAAGTTACGATGGCAGCTAAGCAGGTTATAGCGAAATCTGGAAATCCCCCACCCTAAGTGTCGCGGCCATCAAAACCAGAATAACACAAGCCATGATACCTGCAAAGGTGGAAGCCACAATTCTAGACACGATTCCTAAATTCTTGCGCATATGGAGCCCCTGGGTAGAGCGCTTCCTCCCGCCTAACTTTGATGAATCACTCCTTCTCCCTTGATTTGTATACTGTGCGCCAAGGATACTGTCAATAGCCCTTCGTAGGCAGCACGTAGGGGTCTGCTGTAAACTTGATGAATGCTCATGGAGTCATTGTTGTTGTTCCTCTTCCCCTTCCCTCCCTTCCACCCCCCTCTGACCCCCCTCCAAACTTCCCCCTATTTCTTTAATGCACTTGGGAGACACTACTCTGATTGGCTGGGACAATAATGTCATTTGTTGTCGACTCTTATATACCTGTTTCCGCTAGAAATGTATAGACACTTGTAATGTGATCCTCATTCATTTTTTTCAATATTCATTCATGTCCTACTGCCACTTCAATGTCCAATGTACATTAACAAAGTCTCCTTGTTTGTGTCATTATGGTTTTATTAATAAAAATGTTTGAACAAGAAAAAGAGATCAACAACAAATAAGTGCAGTTGCCAAATAATCTCAGCCCTCAAGCTAATTTCAAAAGCACCCTGAAAGCTGATTGAAACAAGCCCTTAAACTGCACCCTCACCTTGCTGGCATAATGGAAGGGTGTGATTGGAGGTATCTTTTCACATATTTGGGATTTTTGACTACAGGGGGGGGGGGGGTCAAGATAAAGTTCTTCTATCTGACTGACAGGCATGTGGAGAGTGTTTAAGGTTAGTCACCATAATGGTAATATCAGCAGTTTTTCCTATCCTCATATAACATGTCCCCAGTCTCTCAACTGTCTTCTGCAGCATGTGTCTAGTCTTCAATCAAACCTGTAGCATGTTCACAGTTCCTTTCTATCATTTCTTCTAGCATGTCTGTAGTCTCAGAGAAACCCCTCTACCATTATATGTATTGAACATTATGTTCAGCCCTTTACCTCTTAAGTATTGATTTATGGTTTTCCAAAAGGGGTAATCCTGTGAACAGTATGGTTCTTTTTGTTTGTGCAGAACCCCCTAAGTCCTTCCACTGCATAAACACACACAAAAGAAAACACACACAAATGCTCACAAAATGAAAAGTGTACCTGTTTCAGATATGAACGGAGCAGCCAAACTGTTACACTATTATAGAAATGTGAATGCAACAACTATATCAAACATATAATTTGTTATAGTTGCATTCACATTTATAATAGTACAGAAATGTAGTGGAAATGAACACTAACGCAAGACCATCACTATTCATTAGTTAGCCATATCTTTTGGAAATTCACTTGGAAGTTGTTAAGCATTGTGTCTATGTCCAGTTGAAAATACCCTACTGTACAGCATCTACTGTTATTCCATGGTCATTGAGTGGTTTCCAGAAAAAAAGGGCTCCTATCAGAATTAAAAGGGGCAGAGTTTCTTATCTAATCATCAAAATAGCAATGTCTCTTCTTGTTTAATCCTTTTTAAAAAGAATTATTTAATGCCCAGTATATGGGGAACCAAACAACTGATTGTGTTCAGTGACATTTATCCATGTGTAGATATTGCAAAACATGATAAATTTACTGATTAGCATGTTCAGTCTGATGTAAACTGGTTATTTCAAAAAGAAAAAGTAGCTTAAACAATATAAATGAAAAAATGAAAGAGCATACTTTACATACTGATGTACAGATTATGAAATAAAATGTTGTTACAGAATATACCTTGTTATGCACTATTTAAGAACTTTGGCAAGATAACCAAAAATGGATAAAGGACCACTCTTCCTTTGCAAACAGCTCCAGGTCTCTATATTGAACGCTATAGTTCCAGATCATTAGTTTATTTTGAACTCTCCAGGTCCGCTTCTTTGATAGGTACATCACAGGTATCAGTTAGATATGTCAAATAACTGGAAGAATTTAAATCTTTCCTCCTGCGCTTTGGGGAGTAGGCCAAAGAAGGCTAAATGGGCTGCAGTCAAAACTTGGCCTTCATGGGGTGTCACACATGGGGTGCACTTGCTTGCTGCCCTTACAAGACTGGGGGAGTTTAGAAGCACTGCAATAATAATAAACAAACAGAGGCTGCACTGGCCTAGTGCATATCCTTTAAAGGCTTTAATATGTAAAAATGTAAGCATTATACTCACAAAGGAAATAAAGGTATAAGTTCATCCCATAAGTATAGCACAAACAGTACGCAAATATCAAGATGTGACCATCTACAGGCTGACACATTTCAAGGACTTATCCTCTTCCTCAGTAGGATAATGTCAGGGCTCCCGGGTATGACCAGAGGTATGTGAACTGACGCAGGGAAACGCAGGCTTCAGAATAAGTTATAAACAATATAATTTATTAAAGACTAACAATACAAACATAAACGCAGTGCAATACTAAAAAATAACACAGTGCAAACGAACCAAACCAAACCACCCACAGATAACAGTACATACAATGCAAGCGTCGTCAGGCAGGCTGGGTCAATAACAATCGGGCAGGTAGGTACAGGGGGTCAGGCAGGGGGTCAGGCAGAGAATGGTCGGGGTCACAAGCCAGGGATAAAACAGGAGAAGTCAGCAGAGGTCCGGATCAGGCAGGGTCAGCAACGAATCAGTCAGGCAGAGACAGAGACAGGGACAGGAACAGGGATGCAGGTAACAAGATACAGGGCCCAGGAAAAACACACACCAAGGCCCAGACTGCAGGTCTGGCCATCCCTTAAATACACCTGCATAATTAGCTTCAGGTGTTTGGCTGGCTGCAGGGTTGAGTCTCTGATTGCTGAGAGCACCCGCTGGCCAGCCCTGGTACTGCAGCCCACAAGGCAGGTGAATCCCACCATTACTGGCAAGTCCATTCCTGACAGTACCCCCCCCCAAGGAGCGGCCTCAGGACGCTCCAAACAGTCCTAGCTGGGCAAAATGTTCCACCGCCCGGGTCTGGTAACTGGCGGGATATCAAAGACTGGCACATCGGGCTGGACTCCGGGCAGCGGCACATTGGGCTGGACTCCGGGGGCAGCGGCACATCGGGCTGGACTCTGGACAGCGGCACATCGGGCTGGACTCCGGGCAGCGGCACATCGGGCTGACTCCGGGCAGAGGCACATCGAGCTGGACTCCGGGCAGAGGCACATCGAGCTGGACTCCGGGCAGAGGCACATCGAGCTGGACTCCGGGCAGGGCAGAGGCACATCGGGCTGGACACCGGATCACCAGGCAGAGCAGCAGGCACCGGGCCACCAGGCGGAGCAGCAGGCACCGGGCCACCAGGCGGAGCAGCAGGCACCGGGCCACCAGGTACCGGATCGTCTGGATCGACAGCGGGCACCGGGTCATCTGGCGTTGGATCGTCTGGCTCGACAGCGGGCATCGGGTCACCAGGCATGACAGCGGGCACTGGGTCATCAGGTACCGGATCGTCTGGATCGACAGCGGGCATCGAGTGAACTGGCCTAATAGGATCATCAGGTTGGATCAGTTCATCAGGCTGGGTAGAAACATCATGCTGGGTAGAGAGATCATGGAGGCATCAGGCTGAATGGAGGCATCAGGCTGGGTAGAGGCATCAGGCTGGGTAAAGGCATCAGGCTGGGTGGAGGCATCAGGCTGAATGGAGGCATCAGGCTGGGTAGAGGCATCAGGCTGGGTAGAGGCATCAGGCTGAATGGAGGCATCAGGCTGAATGGAGGCATCAGGCTGGGTAGAGGCATCAGGCTGGGTAGAGGCATCAGGCTGAATTGTGGGTGCCGAGGCACCAGGCTGCAGCACGGAAGGCAGGTTCTCAGATGGGAGGCTGACCGGTTTGGATACTGGCAGGATGGTATTGGTTGGAAAGAACTTTCGCCTTTTCCTGGTTTTAGTTACCGGAGCACTGTAAGTAAGCGCAGGTTTGTAAACGGATGGAGCAGCTGGAGACAGAGAAGAGCTGGAGGGTGGAACAGGGGAGGGAACAGTTGCTACAGAGGGCTTCTTTACAGGGTTAAAGGCAGGATAGGTGCAGCGAGTGGGAACAGGGTACTGACATGCGGTAGATAGCAGGGTATACTGGGCTGTAACTGGAGGTGCTGTTGGGAATGCAGGAATAGAGCTTTGAAGAAATAGATTAGAAGCAGGACTGGGTTTTTGCAAGCTGACTGAGGCTGGGTGTAACAAATCTGACCATGTCTGCAGTACGGGTTGAACAAAGCTCAGCTTACACAAAGCCTGTCTGACCAAAGACTGCACTGCGTTTATACAATCCCTTAATACCTGTGGTGAACATGCAGCATAATGCTCCAAGAAGCAATCCACATCATCCTCTAATAACCACACCAGGGACTCTACCTGGTCTGCACTAAATGGTGGCAAAAAGTCATTCCTGCTTTCAGGGGTACCAGATGAAGCCAACTCTACACAAACCTGAATCAAAGGTTGCACCACAGAGAACTCTGTGCCCTGATCTACTAGAACATGAGCGATCCATATACATTCTAGCAGTTGATCCCGGGTATACTCCCTCAGAGCCTGATAAGCATATTCTCTGTCATCAAAAACCAGCAGCGACAAATACACAACCTCATCAAGATCCATCCTTCCCAGCAACAAGCCAAGATGGCTTCCCTGTGCAGCCACTTCTGGTCAGGATTGGCCTTGGTGTAATGTCAGAGCTCCGGGTATGACCAGAGGTATGTGAACTGACGCAGGGAAACGCAGGCTTCAGATAAGTTATAAACAATATAATTTATTAAAGACTAACAATACAAACATAAACGCAGTGCAATACTAAAAACATAACACAGTGCAAACGAACCAAACCAAACCACCCACAGATAACAGTACATACAATGCAAGCGTCATCAGGCAGGCCGGGTCAATAACAATCGGGCAGGTAGGTACAGGGGGTCAGGCAGAGAATGGTTGGGGTCACAAGCCAGGGATAAAACAGGAGAAGTCAGCAGAGGTCCGGATCAGGCAGGGTCAGCAACGAATCAGTCAGGCAGAGACAGAGACAGGGACAGGAACAGGAACAGGAACAGGGATGCAGGTAACAAGATACAGGGCCCAGGAAAAACACACACCAAGGCCCAGACTGCAGGTCTGGCCATCCCTTAAATACACCTGCATAATTAGCTTCAGGTGTTTGGCTGGCTGCAGGGTTGAGTCTCTGATTGCTGAGAGCACCCGCTGGCCAGCCCTGGTACTGCAGCCCACAAGGCAGGTGAGTCCCACCATTACTGGCAAGTCCATTCCTGACAGATAAGTCCTCAAAACGCATCAGCCTGGAGATGTTCCATCATTCTGTCACATCATGGTGTTTGCGTACTGTTTGTGCTGTACTTATGGGATGAACTTATACCTTTATTTACTTTGTGAGTATAAAACTTACCTGTTTATATATTAAAGCCTTTAAAGGATAATGCAGTAGGCCAGTGCGGCCCCTGTTTGATTATCAGTTAGATATGTGCATTTTGTTTCATAACTAATTGATTTTCGGATGAAAATTAGACTTTTGGAAATTCGGGTGTACACAAATCTTTGAATGGACATAGTAACGAATGTCAACAAATCCAAAATAAGTTATAACAAAATTAACAATGCCTTAGTTTAATTCTGATAACATGACAGGATGAGATAGTAGTTTGGGCCCATGAGGGAAATAAAGTCACATTTTTTAATTTATTTGATAAATCAGATTCAAGCAAATTTGTGATTTAAATTGAATTTGTAAATGTCACAGTCCCAGTGCAATTCCTAGGTTTGAAAAATTTGAGGCCATCAAATTTTGCATGATTTATTCCAGTGTGCCCACAAACTATAGCTTTGATATATGAATAACAAATCCACCCAAAATATCGAAATTGAAAACTAATATATAGCAATCTTTTGGAAAAACTGCAACATTTTTCAAATCCACCCAGACTAACAAGTATATGAAATGAATGGCGACGTTATGAAACGGATCCTGAAAACACATAATGAAAATGACAAAACAAAATTCTTCAATGAACGAATGCATTCAAAGCAAAAATTTGTTGTGCACATGACTAGCATCAATTATGTTTAGCCACTCACCTCAAATCCTGTCACATTTTATCGAATAGCCCCTGGCGTTGTACATTCATTTATAAAGAGGCATTGTTTGGTTAATTTTTTTTTATTCCCAGAGCCTAATATTAATAGGGTCTGTACAAATCCATTGGCCGTGCACACTGTACCAGCAAGCAGATATACTGACAGGTCTGCAGGAGACCTGCATGGCACCAGAAATCTGCTGATGACTGACGCAATGCCTTACAGGCCCCTGCAACCAAAAATAATAAATGCACATTCTTTTACCTGCAAAAAAATGTGTATTTACTATTTTTGGTCAAGAGGTGAAATTATCTTTTAAACCTTATAGGCTGATTTGGAGAAAAAGATGTTCAGAATCAGACATCAGGAACATGCATTGGTTAAAACTTTTAGTGATATTTTCAAAATATCAGTATCCTCTATCATCAGCAAAGTTAATCTATAAATCAAGTTTGCTAGCGTTTCATAAGAAAAAAAAATTACAGCCTCTACTGCAGTAGTTGCTTTATTTAGTTGTGGGAAGAGCCACCAGGGGATATAGACTAATTGGGAAGTGTACTAATCCAGTGTGAGGATAGGTAAAGCTAAACCACCCTGGGCTGTGGGAAGTTGTAAGGTCTTCAAAGAGAGTCTGGGAGTTTTAGGGTGCCAGAGAAAGGTAGAGAGGATAGAACTGGAATCCTTAAACATCTGTTTTGGTATATAAATTGGGAGAATTAGACAAAATATACAGTAGTTTAGGCAAATAACCCCTAAATATTTAAATTCAGTGGTGACTTGTAAGGACAATCAAAAATGCTAGGAGTTTTAAAAAAAACTATGGTAAAGTGAAAACTTCAAGTATGTCTTGGAGTTTTTTTTTAACTGTATGCTTACATACACAGTTTACCAAACAAACCTTGCATGTGTCTTTATTTATTTGTAATGTTTTGCTTGAGTTGTGGTGTTCAGGGGAACCTATGAAACCTGTCAGAGAAGTATGTAGACCACCATCCCCTACCTTTAATTTTTGTACTGTTACATTTAATTTTTTGTTTTATTATTTTAAGCTGTTTTTTCCATTCTGTAAAAAACATAAATACCAAGGCTATTTTTTCTGGAACAACAGTGATCCAGGATAGTTGAAAGGAAATTCTGTATCTTCCTATATAAGCTGTTTAACCAACCAAATTATTAATTTTTTTCTAGTACATAGCACAGCTATGTTTCATGGGTGGTGGGGCATTTTTTTTTTTTGCTGCAGTTAAAATGAAATCTTAAACCTGCTCCTACCCCCATCCTATTCACAGGGCGCTCCAGTCCAGTCATGTGAGCTCTAAGCTGCTGGCTTCAGGGAGAGGAAGGACTGCTGACAATGGATGCCCCATAGCAAGCCTATGGTAACTTCACTGTCCAGGCATTGCAGCCATTGCCAATGATCTATCCTCTTCCCTGAAGTGGATGTATGGACATGATCACATGACCAGAGTGCCCTAAGGTCACTTAGAATAGGTTTGTCTACACAGGCTAGATAATATAGGACCTAGAATGCAGGCGAAAGTAGGTTTAAGATTAGATAGGTTTAGACTGGACTTCCACTTTAAGCCACACTAAGGACTTATGTATCCGTATGAGATCCATGTATACCCACATGAGAATGCACAGGTGTTCACCTTGGGTGGGATGCCAGATTGGGAGCAACGGATGTGTCCTTGCAGCTGCTAAATCCCAATTGACAGCTATAGAACTGCCTGCATGAGGATGCATGGCAGGCACTGTGAATGGGGGACTGTAAACCATGTGAAGGAGAAAAACTCCCCACCCTGTGAATGGACTGCCATAAAAACTCCCTCAGTTTTTATGTACAGGGACTGTAAAAGGATCTTGCTTTAGAAAAATACATTTAGTGATGTATTAATGAATACAGAGATGCATTAGTTTGTGATTTTTTTATGTATCTGGAGTTTCTCTTTAAATCCCATTGCACCACTACAATCTTCCTTAATTTTGCCATCCCCATCAACGAATACAATTTAATTAAAATGCCAATATTTCACAAAAATCTCCTGAATGGGGTTAGCTAGAAAAAATAATTTCTCTCAGAAAGGAGTTGCTGCTCCTTGAGGTGTTCTGCTAGTACCAGCTTAAGTAGTTAAAGCTGAAGTTTCAAATCCTCTTAATTTTGCCTTTCCTGGTCCTTCCTTTACACCCACATCAACAGCTAATGATATTTGTACATAAACCTTTCTGTTTTTATTGCATACTTTATTTTAGATCCAGTGATATCATCACTGGGTCTCTGTGTTCTCTTTACAATTCAGCAGATTATGACTGGTGGGATGGGCTAGCAAAGTGTTGAACATACCTTCCTGAAAAACATTATAACATGCATGCCTCAGTAATCCTTTTACAGTGAGAAAATGTGTGTAATAATCTTTATGAAATTGATAATCACTGAAAATAAATACAGCAAAAAATTATAATGAAATGTACATGCAATACATTTATGAAACTTACAATCAATATACAAAAGATATACACTTTTTATTGCTAAAATATTCCAACACTGCAGTTATTTAAATGAGATAAAAAAGCCAGTGCTGCCCATGGTTTCTGCAGATTTTAAGAGAGATTTTGCTTTACTGTATATTTTAACAATAATAGTACAACTCTGTTGAATTTTTAATAATCTAATGCAATGTAACTAACCAGAGACAAATCAGATATAAATTGCCTATAAAGCCCTTGTTAATTTAATTTATTTTTCTAATAGAAAGAAAAAATGCTAGCTGAAAATAAACTCCCCTGAAGCTTATTTAATACACCTATAATTTCCC